AAGAAGAAAAAAAATAACTCATCATATTTAAATTACCTGTAATAGCCATTGGTGTTTTTACATAATCATCTGTTAAAGATGCCCATAATGTATCTTCTAATTTTAAATCCATACCTAATTTTGTTCCAAATCGAATATTTCTTACTGTATATGGTGCTTGTGACATACTTTCAGTTCCACCACATAAAACAATATTTGAATCACCTAATTCAATTTCTTGTCCACTATTTATAATCGATTGAAAACCAGATCCACAAAGACGATTAACAGTTAATGCTGGAACATGAATTGGTACACCTGCAAGTAAGGCGGCATGACGAGCTAAAAAAATTGCATATGTTGATGTTTGAGAAACATTACCAATAATAGTACTATCAATAGCATCGGGTGATAATTTTGCTTGTTTAAAAACAGCTCGATTAGCAAGTTCTTGTAATTGTGTAGCTGTATAATCTTTTAATTTACCACCAAAAGTACCAAATGGAGTACGACGAGCTGCAACAATATATATAGCTCGTTTGAAAACCATCGTTTCCTATGCTAATTTTATATATAGGTATGTGAGTAAAATGATTATCAATAACCAAAATACTAAGGATGGACATTGTGTATACTCATATATTCTCATACTTTTTATTTATTGGATGATAATTGAGAAATAATTTTACGAAAAAGAGATGTCACATCTAGTTAGTAACAAAAAATTTTAAGCAACACATTCTAAACTCAAAAAAATCAACATTGAAGAACAATCAATTGTTTATACATCGATATTTCAGAAATACATAGTCTTCCAGCAACAAAACTATCCACATCTAATTAATACAAACTTTTATAGAATTAAACTATTTCCCTTGTGAATATTATTTGTAGATACATGCTGTGAATTAATAACAAACAATATATTCTATGTTAACATTTACAAAGTTAGAATTTCTTTTTTCATATAATAGCTAATTTTTTATCTTCTATGAAAATGTTCAATCAATATTCGACACTATATGATATTATCTCGAAAAATATTCCATTAATCTGAAATCTCTTCAAACTACATCCACATGCCTCTATAGGGGAGAAAATGAGAAAAAGACAAAATATTTTGATGTCATAATAATAATTTATTTTAACGAAAATATTAAAATGTATCTCGAATCTGTGTCCACTAAAGCTCATTTCTTAAAATAAATCAGAACAATAAGAACAGAAACAAAATGTATACTGTATGTTAAATCAATATGATTTATTTTGAATTCATCCTTCATGTTCAGAGTTGTTTCTTTTTTTTTCAAGTAAATAAAAATAAAATTAACTGAAATATCAAATATAGTTTCAATATTCAAAGAAAATAGATCAATTTAAATTCAATTTTAAAAGTTTTCTTTTTTCTTCTATTTATAAAAAATATTTGAACCTTTGAACGAGTTTTTCTCAAAACCAGTTGCTCTAAACGAGAAAAAATGTGAACCTAAAGTTTCTTCTCAAGAAGGACTATTCTTAAAAGAAGTGTGGCTGTAAGAAAAAACTACGGAATCTGAAATCTGAACTTGAGCTTCCAATAACAATTAAAGTGTTAGTGAATTTCATAAGATTTCGACAAGGAAGATTTTATGCAAGTGTAAGAGGTGTATTACTAATGAAATATTGCCTTTCATAGATCAAATTTCTCAACATCTATATAATTAGACTTAACAATGCGAACGATTTCGATAAACAATTTGAAGCTCTTTAATTCAAATTTTACGTTTTTTTTTGACATTAAAATTCTCCTATTGGATAGAATCAACACTTTATGAAACTAAGGCAAATGTATGTAGTTGTTTCATCAAGTTAATGACTAGATCGAATGAGAGTTAGACATTTGTTACTAAATCTTTCTTAAAATAATCAATTTCATTCCCTTCGGTATATCGAACGAAGGCTATTTTAAAGATATGCAATCATTCTTCAAAACCACTTTTGTAAACTGTTTCGATATCATTTGTAAACGTTTCAATGGAATCAACTGCATATTTTAGTGGTGACATAGAGAATATAAATTGATTCATCACTTTTATTGACATGCAAATGAAAAATACAACATTGACAAAAAAAAAATAAATTTCACAAAAATATCTTTCAAACCACTATTTGCATCGTCGACCTGCAGATTGACTTTGTGCGCGATCGCGACCATTTCTAAAAAGAACAGATTATATGTTCTTTTCAATATTAGCAAAAATATTTCTCTTCGGCTATAACTCAATATATTTGGTTAAATAAAAAACAACAATATATATATGTAATCAATATGTTAAAATAATTAAAAAAGAAACTATAGAGAAAGGTAAATAAATTTAAAAATTAGTGCGAAATAAATAAGTAACACAATATTATCTTATATTCAATTCAATATTGTCGTTTCAGTTAAAATTGATCTTCTTCAGGTAATGTTCTTCTTGAATGTACATAGATGGTATTCTTTCATCCATATGTTCCTTTTTTTTTCCTTTGATTGACTACGATGATACTGATACAGAAACCACAAGACAATAATACTGATACCAGACGACATTTGTGGTTCCTCGTCTATAGCAATATTCATCGAAGTCAAATAAAGAAAAAAAAAATCAGATACCTATAGATGAAACAATGCCAACTCCGTACATATAACAACAACATTCTCAAAATCAATTTTGACCGAAATATCAACATTTAATTTCATATAATATAATACTTCTTATTAATCTATTTTCAACTAATATCGACTTTGTTATTTATTTTATTCTAATTACTAATTCTTTTACTTACATTAACGTATTGATTATGTATTTATATAGGAAGAGAAGTAGTGTTATTATAATTGAAATTCATAATGAACTTCCTTAAGCGAGTTGAGATTATGTATAAGTAAAACGTGAAGACAATGTGATTCCAATATCTTTTTTTTTCTAATAATATCCTCCGTCATCAGACCTATTCAATACATACTTATTCGAAAGTATGTTCAAACTATACTGTTGAAGATATAGTGTACCTCCATTACAGTTGTAACCATCTATACAAATATTAAAAAGAAAATTAATAAATTAAAGAATCTTTTACTACATTTAAGTTTCACCTCACTCAATCCTTCAAGAGCCTTGTCTATCTTGTTTTGAAGCGACGCTTGACTAAAATGATAATAAAACCAGTTATTTTTTTTTATTATAAGCAACAAAACAACAACTTACTGGTAAATATAAAATAATGTTTCATCCTCTTGTAAGTTTTAGATTGTGGGTGTGAGGGTATGGGTGTGAGTGTTGGTGTACATGAAGATAAGACACCCACAGTCGCGACCACAGCCACAGCCACACCCTCTCGGATATAAACTTTTTTTTAAATAAAAACAATCGCATGGATTAGTTAGATCTTTTCTAACGAGAACAAAATTATCCAAAAAATGAACTTCTTAGTTATTAGTGGATGTATGATCTGTTTGTAATCAATAGAGTTTATGTGAGATGATTTTAAATTAGCAGATACATTGCAATTGAAATATTTCAAATAATTTGATCATAGACGTAAAATTAATAAAAAAAAAAATAAGAGAAAGTAATTTCGAGTAGTAACCCGACGGAGAGTGGTAGAAGAGGTGTCGAGGGTGTAACGCTTCCACAATCGTAGAAAGTTTTTATTTTTATGCAGTAGAGCTGGAACTTTCTTTATTGCATTCTGTTAGAGGAAAGATACTTTCTCCCGTTGCAAAAAAGTTAGCAATATTTTCTTCGTCCTAATGTTAGCTGCGTTGGAGCACCATCTGTATTTTGCAAATTATCAATCATAAAAATATTTCTCACTATCAATATGTTGATCGAAGAGAAATTCAATATGTACCACGAAATTGGGATTATTTTCATGATCATATTTTTTAAAAAATTAACGATAACAATAAAAAATAAAAAATTGATAAAAAACAAATTTTTAAATTTAAACAAGTCCTATGAAAGTTATATGGCATGTAAATGAAGTGTTTTTGTTATGAGAACTTATGCCACACAATTTTCATAAGAAATTCTACAGAATCTTTTGAAGAAAAAGAATATTTTGATCCTTTTTTTTTTACTGTTCAATCTTAAAACAACATATTTTAATCTTTTGATAAAATATTAGTTCATTTTTTCAAAATTATAATTAAACTCCTTAAAAAAAGATTTAATGACGAAGCACTTATTCTCATCTTCACTAATTTCGAGTCAAGAAGTGGAACTGATGCATTCCTAGATGATTAATTAATAATAAATGAATAATAATAATAATCTACTGCGAATATTTGAATTTTACTGGTTTTTATTGTAACTATGCTTATATCAATATCACTGATTAGTTTTATATCACGTTTACCTCTTTTCAAGGGTTTGTACAGTTCACTTTTATCTATTCATTTCAAAATTTTTACTAACAAATTTTGAACAAATGTAGACCTATTTATAGAGAAATCGGAGATTTCAAAGTTTTTTTTCTAATTCTGTAATTTATTAAGAATATTTCACAAAATGTCATATATTTAAATTTATTTATTTTATGTTTATGTATTTTCTACTCTTTTTTTTCTAACATTTTCTATTTACTGCGTTAATTTTAAGAATATATTTTTGGAATATTTGCACAATTTTTCCAAAAATTTCTGGGACATTCATGCTTCCATTCCTAGGTTGCTTTTCTAGAAGACTCTGTAGAGCTTCAAAAGTTTCTAGAAAGACTACAAATTTTTTAGGAAATTTGAGCCATATGTCTAATTTGTAGTTTCAAAAAGTTTCTAAAGTATTGGCAACTTTTACTATCTTATATAATGAGAAGTCTCGATTTTAATCTGCTATGAATACGTTTGTATATCAAAGTCAACTGAGCATAAAAGTTGTTTAATAACAAATTTTTTTTTTGTTGGTTTTTAATATTTTGATAAAATGATAGTTACGTAAAATATTTTTCTAATAGTAATTTTTGATAACGAATATTTTGTCTAACAGCTTTTTGATATATTAAAGGTTCTTTACTTTCATCATCATATATTCTTCCAAGAATATAAACAGCATCATATGATCAAAATGAGTCATTTCATTAGATGAATCAGGTGTTAAATAAATTAAACGATCTTTATCAAATAAATCAATATATAAATCTCTTGTTGAATGAAAATAAGTTGAATGTTCATGTGGTAGTAAATGATTACATGTTTGAAAATTATGTGAAAGATCACTTATTATAATATAAGCTGGTGAATGGACACGATCAATATGTTTAAAACAACGAAAAACTTTTTGAAAAAGTGATGAAAAATATGATTGACGAGCTTGAGCAAATTCAAAACCACCATAAATAACAAAAAAAATCTCCTAATCATGCTGCTCGTGCTAATGCATAAAGATTAAGTCAACGTTGTGGATTATATTTCATGTCTAATGTAGCAAATATAGTTCGATGAAAAGGAGATTCCAAACGATTAGAATCTGACATAGCAGCAATTATTTCTTTTCTTTTTTCTATTCGACATCGAAAACGTTCTCTTCGTGCTTCTTCATCACATAAATATCTTAAAATCAATAAATAAATAAAAAAAAGAAAAGAATTATTTTATTTATTTAAATTACTCATAAAGATAACGTCTAGTATTAAGTAATTTAGTAATAAAAAGTCTTTGCCAATATTTAGGAGCTATACTTGATTTTGGTACAGATTGAGTCCAATATTGATTTAATCAATACATTTCTTCCCAAAGAATATTCTTTTTTGTATCTTCATCATTTATTTGATCAAGTGATTGAGTTACATGACGAAGAAGTGTCCATCGAAGAATAGAAATAACTGTTGAACGTTTCGTTTTTGTTTGAGCTACCTGTTCCCATCCACGATGGCGAAGAAGCATCTTTTTTTCTTTTTTAATTCATTTATATAACATCATATATGCGTATAATTTGTTGGTTCTTATCATCGAACTGAAAAGAAGAATAAAAGGTAAGAGCGACTTACAGGGACCTCGAATATTGAAAATTAATATTGTAAATGAAACGATGTTTTTCTTATGATAGTTTTGAATAAGAAATATGATTAGTCTTATTCTTTTATAACTTCAATTGATAAATTCAAAATAGATCGATTAGTTAAAATGATAGTACGTTTTATTTAGTCTTATTTACCATCTGTTTTAACTTGATGGCATATATTTGCATTATTTATATTCGTCATAAAAATCATTGTATAATGCTGTTTGTCAATGTTTTTTATCAATAGCATGTCTAAAGAAAAAATATATTATTCACAAGTATTATTTCAACACTAAACCAATAACAACAAGATTGATAGATGTATTGTATCGAATATATTCATTAGATATCAATATAAATAAAGAGTTTGTTGAAGGATTTAGTGTTTAGTTGTATTTCTAAATAAATATGAAAAACTTCTAGAATTTATGTATGGATGAAAAAATATTTTATGAGCTGTTTTTTAAATATGTAATGTATAGTATTTGGTTTATCTATCAAACACTAAACTTAATCGATATCATTTAGACGACGATTATTTATTGTTTTGGTTAATGTTAATCTAAAAATAGCTCAAAACATCGACATGAATGATAATAATTATTTTGTTTTTTTTTTTTATCAAAAAATTATTAGATAAGCATCATTTTAGTTCTACATTAAGTAAAGAGCAATACACATGTGGAATATATTACTAGTCATACTACAGGAAACTTTTATACTCTATGATGATCATACATAGGTTACTATTTTTGTGTTTCTTTTCATACATTTAATGATAACATATAAAATGTCTTATTCAATTAAAATTTGTCTTCTGATGTAATACCAACGTTTAAAAAATGAGTCAGAGAAAGTACTGAATAAGCAGGGTACACTCGAGATTTTCAAACTTGGAGTATTATCGCATCTGTTGTTTTTTTGTAAAGAAAAAAAACTTTTTGTTCTCATAGAATACAAGAAAAATGTCTAGTTTCGCGGAAGACAAATAAAAAAGCTTTTTGCTAATCGGAATATATGACACCCGCACCCCCCCCCCCCTTTCTACGATTCATGCAGCCCTATTGATAAGTAATCATAATTACCTTAATCCCATGCCAACAAAATAATAATCCTAATCTATATTATCTAACATATATTTCATTTATATCTTAATTTAATTCATGAATAGACCATGGTTATTATATTTAATATAACATGATCATTTGCTTTTTCCTTCTCTTAGTAAGTAGTTTTAACATATTAAAAATGATTTTCCATGAGTTTTATTGGAGAAAATTTTTAATGGTTAGCGGCATGATCACAAGAGACTATTATTAACTTGACTTACGAAAAAATCTATATTATCTAAATAAAATTATAAATGGTATTGAATTGAAAATATTAGATTAAAATAACAAATATCTATTGCTTAATTTTTTTCTTCGTAATAAACTAGTACACAGATAACATTGTGTGTTTCATTAATACAATGAAAACAAAAACCTTAATCAATAGCGATGGATTAGCACAGGTTTATCACAAGAAAAAAAACAAGAAGAAACAAACAATGAATAAAGTTGAATGTTTTTTTTTTCTTTGAAATCATCATAATTTAAGTTGTTTGGCTTGTTCCCATGGAAATTCTGATCGACCAAAATGTCCATAGCATGCTGTTTTCTTATAGATTGGAGATTTTAAATTAAGATCCCTATGAAAAGAATAATAAATTATTAATTAAAAAAAAACAAAAATATTCAATGTATATATGTAATAACTTACCGAATGATAATACCTGGTCGAAGATCAAAATTTTTGTTAACTATTTCAAGTAATTCTTTATCTGTTTTTGATGAGGTACCATAAGAAAAAACAGCAATAGATAATGGTTCAGCGATAGCTATACTATAGGATACTTGAACTAGACAACGACGACAAAGTTTTGCTTTAACAAGTGACTTAGCAACCCAACGAGCAGCATAGGCTCCTGAGCGATCAACTTTCGATGGATCTTTTCCACTGAAAGCACCCCCACCATGAGCACCCCATCCACCATATGTATCGACAATAATTTTTCGGCCAGTTAAACCAGCATCACCTTGTGGACCACCAATTTCAAATTTACCTGATGGATTTAAATAATAAACTGTTTTATCATCAAGTAATTCTTTTGGTACAACTGGTTTAATAACTTTATTAAGAAGATCATCTCGTAATTGTTCTTGTGTTACTTGTGGACTATGTTGAGTTGATATCACAATTGTATGCACACGTTGAGGAACACATGCACCTTTATCAAATTTATATTCAACAGTAACCTAAAGAGAAAGTCGTTTTTTTTGATGATAATACTATCCTTTTGCTTGTTTCATTATTTTTTACTTGAGTTTTGGAATCGGGTCGAAGATAATCTAACTGACCGTTGCGTCTTAATTCAGCCATTTTAGCATTAAGATGATGAGAAAGGACGACAGTTAATGGCATACATTCTTCTGTTTCATCAGTTGCATAACCAAACATTAAACCTTGATCACCAGCACCAATATCTTCATCAGCTCTTTTTTCATGGACGGCTTGAGCGATGTCAGGTGATTGTTGTTCAATGGCAACAAGAACATTCATGGTTTTATAATCAAAACCTTTTTCTGATGAATCCCAACCAATATCACGAACTGTATCACGAATTATTTGTTGATAATCAACACCAGCTCGTGTTGTTATTTCACCACATACTAAGACCATACCAGTTTTTGTACATGATTCTAAAAAAAAAATGAAATAGTCCAAATAAAAAAAAAGATTGTTCATCTATAAATTAGAAAATTTACCACAGGCAACTTTGGAATTTGGATCTTGACTTAAACAAGCATCGAGTATAGCATCGCTAACTTGATCACAGATTTTATCTATTTAATAGAAATAAAATTGATTTTAGGTATGTAGAGTAAACAAATCACGTCAATTTCTTCATTTCATTTCATTTAAATTAATCTTTAAGCACATTTAATTACTTACCAGGATGTCCTTCACCGACTGATTCTGATGTAAAAAGAAACATTTCACCATGTGCATTGTCTGATTCCATGCTGATGGCTTAGATGGGATGTGTATGTCGTCTGAAAAACTTTAAAACGAATGACTATAGTAAACCTGTTTCACATCATCTAATAAACGTCTTTTTTGCTTGTGTTGCATTTTTTTTCTCTTATCAAAATGCGTCGTCATCAAAGTATTAGAAAAAAAGCAAATACTATGTATTAACAAGACGAATACTTCTATTTTTTTTTTGCTTTGTTTTTATGAGAATAAAGCTCACGCGCATATACAGCCACACATATAGTATGAGAGAGAAACACACGTCAAGGACAAGGTGCAAGTGATAATCAGAAAAAGAATATCGTCAAAACGGTTTCAGAATAAAAAAAAATGATAAGAGGACAATAGTATTATACTTGTTGTTTTTATCATACTCATTTTTTCTATATCATGTGCTGGTACATGTTTCAAAGAGCAATATAAAAACGGACACATATATTCCTAAGTGAATGTTAAAAATTAAAGGTAACACGAATTTAGAAAGTCACCAGACTTTCTAAGCTTCCTATCATGTCGAGTAGTTCACTTGAAGTACATATTGGAGTGCAGACAACGTATATATACTTTAAAAATACAGAGCAATTCACGTTGCTGTTACTTTTAGGGAAATAAAAAAGAGACCACTACCGGCATGGTTGTCTGTTTTTTCCTTTCTTTCTTTTTCTTTCTTTATCATATAAACATGCTTGCCTTACTTTCAAGATCGAATAAGACGAAAAAAAAAATGAAAAAAAGAAAGAATGATAATGATGGTAATAAAAGTATCTTCAACATATTATTACAAAGAAACTTTATTATAAATTATCATAATTTCATTTTATTGTATAATTATATATATATACATATATTGATGAAAAACCGAAGAATTATTTTATCAAAATCTGTCATTGATTATTGCAAGAATAGGTCAAAGATATTTGATAGATTAGATAGAATATAGAATGCATGCATGTACCCATACATACTAAGTATGGCTCTAAATTAACAATGTAATTCAATAGTCTACGAAATAAGAGTTGATTATTTTTATTGAAAATATTAATATTGAGTCTTACATGTAAGTTGAAATGCGACAAAATAAATGTAACCTTGAAGTGTAAAATATGTTGCTTAGAATTTTTAGATTATCTTACATTTTGATATGAATATCATTGATAACATACTTTTTTTTATCGTTCATTTTCAAAAAAAAACTAATTTCATCACAAAAAAGTGTTTATGAAAGAAAAGAAATACATGTTAATATAACTCATTGTATCCAACCCTTTTCATTTGTATACTATCATATTGATTTTTGATTTTCATGTTTTATGGGTCGAGCAATAATCATTTTATAATAACTTGACTGATAATAATTTTTATCATAAATTTGAAATCTACACAAACAGTGGCAATGAGTTTATTACTTCGGTAGTTTTTATTCTATTTCTTTAAAACGTTGATGACTACTGTTGATTTTTTGTTTTCACACACTGAGAAAAACCCATAATGGGAAAAAAAAACCAAGTATATATGTGCACACTGTATGAATAGAATTCAATTCATTATATTAATTTATAAAAAGAATAAGCCAAGCTTATAATAAAAATGTCCATTGTCGACTGGCAAACTTTATTTGATGATGTATTTGATGGTTATCCTGATAAGTGGACATTAACTTATGTTCATAGAAATGATAAACATAACAATCGAAAATTTAAAAATCAGCGTCTATTTGAAAGAACTGGATACGCAAAGTATATCATTTGACTCTTTCTTTGTATCGACATTTTTATTATGTTTTTATAGATTCCATTGTTCAAAATGT